GGAAGTGGTAACCATTTCCCGTTTGTAATCTAAATTTAAATGAGTGAAAATTGCAAACTTCGCAAGGCTATATTATCCGCATTTTACAACATTTCGCAACGAAACTTTGGAATATTACTAATTTTGTGATGCTCTTTCAAGCCGTGATGAAATTTTTGTCTAGACTTGTTGAGTTCAAAATTTTGGTTGATTGGGGAGGTCCATTGAGCCTTGGTTCAAAACGTCGAACTAAAAATGTCTGTCACTCACTCTTTTGCAAACTGTCATATTTTCCCCTTTGCTTTAGAACGCTATCCTCTTCACTATATAAACCGTACCGCCATTTCTCTTACCGAAAACACGAATATAAATCTTGAAGGTAGTTTCAACTCTACAGTATCTATCCGAAATTTTCTTTAAATACGGAAATATTCAAAGCTAAATTTGAAGAGTCTGTATTTATAAAAACTGTAATTAGAAACCTTACTATAGTATATGGCATTGGCGTGCTTACTTGCACGACTTAATTGATTTTCAACACAGGAAATGCCCACTTTATATGTTTATCGCCTGACTAGTAATTATCATTGAAATCTAAGCATGTGTATATCATTAATGTCCCCTACAGGGAAGCAAAGACGGAGAAGATGTCACGAAAATATTATCTTTGGTCGCTCAGCCTCGTTCTGTTTTTCAATCTCACTGGCAAATTCCCTGTGGTTGGCAATCGGCAATATGGTCCCAAGGAGACAAAATTGGAGTCGCGATTACAGGGATACAAACTGACTGGTTATCGTCATGGTGAGTGTTTGCTAGACTACAAAACAAACTTTATTCACTAACAGAACTACTAATACTGGCAGATAAAATATAAAACATATTAAATTTGCAGAGAGACCAGATTAACAATTAGAATTATACTAGCTATGATTGATCAAAATTTGTTAGGGCATCCATCGAATCAATACTTGGGTACCAATGTTCCAACGGCTTTCATTACAATAACATACATATACAAAGCAACGAGTAATTCATTTGGTTAACGATAAAATCTGCCCTAAGATCAGTAACCTTGTCTTTATACTATACCGCATTAAATAGTGCTGTTCGTTTTCCACTTCGTTTAAATCGCAATGTTGACAAATTCTTTTATCGAATATGGATAAAAGAAATTCAATTTACGGAAGTGAAGACTCGACACAAGCTGCCGAGCGTGACGTGCCCGTATTATGCAAGTATCTGTAAAATAGGACAAATTTTCACGTTCCAAGCGAAGTTACGAGGTCGCGAAGTTAGCTAGTTTCAACTTGGATGCAAGGGATATTCTTCTGAAAGCTTGTATACAAACATCGATCTTTGCTCTTTTTTTTTCATGGTAATTGTACACAAACCCAGCAGATTTTCAATGTATACCTTATAGGACACGAAATTTCACCCTAAAGGTTTATGGTTGCATTGTAAAGATGACTTAAAATGACTTAATAATTTCTTTTATAGAATTTTGGTAACTTGCTCCCTTTTCAAGATATTCAACTTTGTTTCATATGCAAATATCACCGGTGTGACATCACATCGCATAATGAGTTTTCAGAAAAGTATAGTTTTCTTGACGAATACGTATCTAAAAAACTTAAAAATTGCCCTTCTATATGTATTAATGTCATAACTGGTAATTAACCCTCTGTATTTGTTTGTAAAAATATTTTATCAAGGTAAAATATTGCGTTTTCAAAATGTCATTATGCGATGTGATGTCACCCCGGTGATATTTGCATATGAAACAAAGTTGAATATCTTGCAAAGGAAGCAAGTTACCAAAATTCTATAAAAGAAATTATTAAGTCATTTTAAGTGATCTTTACAATGCAATCATAAACATATGGGGTGAAATTTCGTGTCATAGGCACTTTAAATCACTGGTCAAAATTGACCAAAGTTCTTTTATTAACCTCCTAAAACTGCCTAAACGCATAATAATTAAATCGGCAACAGGAAAATATATATATATATATATATATATATATATATATATATATATATATATATATATATATATATATATATATATATATCATTGCGGTTGCAGACTTACCCATGAGCCATTGCTAGATAGCACCAGGATGCCGATAATACAAAACGCCAGAAATCTTGTACTTCCCATGTTCCTCTCACTTTTGGCAAAGAAATAAGCAATCTAGCCAACTGCCTCTGTTTTTCAATTACTCTGAAATTAAATTTTTAATAACCAATTTGCCAAATTATTATCGGATTTTCTTAATGATAATCTTAAAGCCTTTTAAAATTACTATATTTTATTTTTCTCGATTTCTTCCTATTATTATTCGTTATTATTCGCATAACGTCAAATAATTTATTGACTGGTGTGTCGTACTTGGTAACAGAATAATTTTTTAATTATACACTCTAAAAACAAACAAATTAATATCAGCACAATTTGGAAAAGTAATTTGATTTAAGGTTACAGGACACCCTTTTTGGCGTTTTGCGAAAAATCGCTACTGCGCGCTCAATATCAATCCGATTTTCATCAAATTTTCAGCAAATGTTCTCCAGTGCATGCAAAATATGATAAAGTTGTAAAATTAACAAACAATAAAATAATGTAAGAATTATTCAGGAAAATCTTAAATCGCGGTACCGTTACGCTTTTGAGTTGTGCTCCTGCTGGTTTAAGTTATATTTATGAAAATATCATTTTTATATACAGTAAAATAGTTGTTCTAAAAAATTGTGTTCGGAAATTTTTGTTTATTTCGTCATTCCGCTGATATGGCGATTTCTTTGACGACTGCAATATATTTCTGAACTGTTTGAGTCAATTGCTCTTTATTTTTAAAATATCCAAAATTAAAAAAAAGCCGAACACAATTTTAAAACTGACGTCTTTAGCTATGTCCTGTGAAAATTCGAGAAAAATTGGTTAAAACCCGCAGAAGCACAACTCGTTTGAAAATCAGTAATTACCATAAAATTTTTCGGGAGAAAATTTAATTTGAATATTACATTTTCAATGTTTTTTCTTATTGCAGCGAAATGTATTTTATTAAATAACTCTGTGAGTTTTCAACATTTTTCGTTCAAACTTGGTCAGATAGTAGAACTAGTCTAATGCTTTCATGGAAACCAATAAAAAAATTTTAGGCAAAATTAACACTCAAAGGTGTTCTGTAACCTTAAATCGTAGGTACCTCGGATCCCCTATCAATCGGGCAATATTGAGCCTTTTGGGAAATCCGCTCACCAATGACTAAGAACTCAAATATCAAAGACGGCATAAAATCATGTCGTAGGTGACACGCTGACACTCCATTTTGCAATATATAAGTTTACGCAATATATTCTACAGTAGTACATCTGGGTATACAACTCAAAATGTGCGATGCTCGACGGCTGTCAGATTCGCACAGCACACGGGCCAAAATCTTCACACGATCTTTGCGTGACTAACACGACAATTGATATCAATAATATTGACCTTCACACGATCTTCGCGTGACTGATGTGACAATTAAGAATTTTAACACCACTCTATATCTCGTATAATATTGAACACTTTCCGACGCCCAAATATAATTTTGTGCGTCGAATCATACTTCATTGTTACTGAGATACACATGTCAGTGAATTGTAGGTTGCTTGTGTGATGTTACTCTGAGTGTATATCCACACCGGGCAGGCTTGAAAAATATGCCTGGCCACGGTGGGATTCGAACCTACGACCTTTGGAATACTAGCCCAATGCTCTGCCAACTGAGCTACGCGGTCAGGTCGGTTCGAGTATGCGATATTCTAAATTGATTGTGTATAATTCTTTGCTTGAAAATTCCCGATCATCAAATATCGCATATAATATACGTAAGTAGTTTTATGTGCCTGTTGATTCACTTTGGATTATAGAAAAACTCGTGTATATGTAAGTGCAGCTTTTTTGCTACAAAATTATCCTTCAAGGCTTCAAAAAAACGGCAGTTAATTTTTGGCTATATGTAAAACACAAACGACGATTGAACACTTGAATACTTTGATAAAAACTACATAGTCATTCGTCATAGTACTGTTTGGGACTATTTTAAAATATTTGATACGTTTCTCTGGCAAGCGACAAACAAACTTAAAAAAAAGTATGTCTAGTGCTTTATCTGTAAAATTATGCTAAAATGAAGAGATTTTAGATGATACGCCAAAGAGAAAATTATGTTTGAAGTTCAGTAAGTTTTGCTTATATTGCTGTATAAATATATATGGCGTCAATTTTACAGCATCAATGATAATTGTATTTAAATTGACATATTTAACCATTATTTTGTGTTTCTCAACCGCCAGATACATTTAAAAAGGTTGCTAACTGAGTGTGTAAACTACAAAATAAAGCTGAAACAAAGTAACTTTGAGAGGAACGCCAAAACGAACCTGACATTGAAAAAAATTGCCTCTTCATTCAATATAGTTGCCTATAATTTAAGAGCATCGTTGAACATGTAGCCCTTGTCTTACAAAAACACGCAACGCGCAGGCTTCGTGACAGTTTTTTCGTACCTCCATATGCGATTGGATTTAACTAATACATGCGCTTGCAAAAACTCGCGTCGTCTTATAATTAATCATATGAAGCATAGTTTTAAAAATGAAGACGTGTTCCTCAGTCCAAATGCAAAATTTGCCTCGAGCATTTGAAAGAGGCCCGTCCATCTATTTTGTAAAATTTGCGATCCAGTTTACCCAGATCTTCAGAGAGCAAGCCGGATCATATATAATGCTGGTGATGTTACTCTGAGTGTAGTGTATATCCACACCGGGCAAGCTTGAAAAATATGCCTGGCCGCGGTGGGAATCGAACCTACGACCTTTGGAATACTAGCCCATCACAAGCATCATATTCACCTGAGAACTACATTCCACCAATTAACGCAGAAACAATTCATAGCTCATATATAGTTCCAAACGCACGTCAACAATTATATTTTTCGTACGCCCTCTACCGGAATTTCTAGAAATTCTTACCTTTTTTCCCTTGTTCTAACCAAAGCAGTTTAGTTCTCTTGGCGAATTCAAAGTTGTCTTTTCTTTGCGGAAAAATTTTCAGACCTCACTTTTGGAGAGCCTGTGCATATTTAATGTTTATCTGTATAGACACACTCTCATCTACTCGAGATTTTCTCAGCAATTTGCTATTTTCTGGTCGCTTCTGAGATGAATATTCACCGCATCAAACACCTACTCAAGCGCGCAGATGTTTCAAGCCCGATATCGCGGTGAAAATAATGACATTTTCAGTCGCCACTTCGCACAGATGCATGATCTGACGCCGTAATTGCATTCATACATGTATCAGTATACATCTACATGCATTAAAACTATATACGCATCGAGAAATCTATAGTCTCAAGATGCGCTAAAGTAAAATAGGATAATCCATTTTTTACACAATGTAAAACAATGAAGAAATAACCACACAGATGCCGCCCCCAAAACAGTGATGTACATTACCCTCCTAACGGGCGGCGTTCAACCTTTCCTTCGATGGGACGTGGGGGGGGGGGGGGTGAGGTATAATTTTGCCGAGTCATTATAGCTTGGTCTGATTAGCATATGACACGCGCACATTTACTAAACTTTGTCCATACGCGGATTACGCAAAGTCGCCACTTCCTCAATAAAATCTGTCAGATCTGTCGACTATACTCGATTGTTTTTAGCCACACAAAGTTCTAAGGGGGTTCCTGGGAAAATTTTGAAATCTAGAGTCTCTGAAATGGCATTCTTCCGGTCCGTGGAAGATTTCAAATGACTACTTCCACGATCGAAGCTAATCCTAAGTCCTAACCACCCACAGTAACTGTTTCTGGCCATGATCGCTGTCAAAAGGCTGTTGGGGGTTGTTTTGTAGGCAGTATGTTTAAATTACCCGCTACGACTCGATAGAGCACAATTTCAAGATATCTATTCTGAGCAGACTTCTTTTTTTTACGTTTGGTTTAAATTCAGATAATTCAATTCGATGATACTTCGATCCATATCCAAACAGCTCAAGTATTGCCAAATGAATGCAACAATTTGCCAACTCGTGCATGAGTGGGGTGGGATGTTCCACCTCCCCTACACCGCCCTCTAGCGCCACCCCTGATAATAGATGGATGTTTTGTAGGTGCACTTTTATATACATTTACCGTTACAACTATATGGCATAGCCACAACTTTTAAAATGTTATTAGCGGTTGAGCTTTTAAGGGCAAAACTAATTTTGTAAAAAGTATTCATCAACCTAACACGTTTCTACCCTTTTAGATTATTCAAAATTCAAATAGTATTTTCCACTCAATTGTTTGCGATGTCTTAAATCTTGTAAAAAATAATATATATTAATGAAATAATTGTACTCCTGCAATCGGAATTCAGCAAATTTCTCGTGTAAATAATACAATTAAATTGTGCGAATTCTGTAATTACGATAAGGTACGTAACACGTGCAGATTATCTATTGTTGTGGCTTGCGCTAAATTATAAAAACATAATTGCAATATAATCATTTACATGCAAAACATATCTGCACTGATACCCATTGAGCTGCTTTTATTTTGAATTAATGTGGCTAGCCGCTATCTGCGCACGTAAAAACACGCAAGCTGTGATGAGGATGTGTTCAAACTGCTTGTTCCCAGTTGTTGTGACAAGTCTGGAACAAGTTGTTATCACCTTGTTCAACAAGATTGATGACTGTAACACACTTGCTACAAGTTGTTCCAACAAGACTGATACAGGCTGTTCGTAACAAGTTGCTACGAGCTTGTTGTCGTCAACTTGTTACGTGCAGACGATATCAGACTTGTTGGAACAACTTGTTGCGTGCAGATATCAGACTTTTTGGACTGGCAACTTGCTGCGAGTCTGTCGGCCTCATCAACCTTGTTACAAGATGATAACAACTTGTTCCAGACTTTTTATTATTATTATTATTATTATTATTATTATTGATCTTTAAACACGGTAACCTTTCACATAGGTGATTTTCAAAGGGCCGTGCGGAAAATAAATGCATTATAAAAGAAGGAACTAATAAACTAAATTATACTTATTTACAAAATATACTTATTTACTTATTTACAAGATGTAATTATTTAATAGACTTGTCAACAACTGGGAACAAGCAGTGCGAACACATCTTTCTGACAAGCTGTAAGATTGAAATAGATGATCCATACTGGACCTCTAGGAAGAACAGTTCAGAACTGCATGATAGAGCTATCCAGTATAAATAAAGTTAGTTTAGTTTAGGTTTCCTCCTGTAGTAACACTGGATCAATAAGAGATGATCCTTACTGGACCTCTAGGAAGAACAGTTTAGAACTGCATGATTGAGCTATCCAGTATAAATAAAGTTAGTTTAGTTTAGGTTTCCTCCTGTAGTAACACTGGATCAATAAGAGATGATCCTCACTGGACCTCTAGGAAGAACAGTTTAGAACTGCATGATAGAGCTATCCAGTATAAATAAAGTTAGTTTAGTTTAGGTTTACTCCTGTAGTAACACTGGATCAATAAGAGATGATCCTTACTGGACCTCTAGGAAGAACAGTTTAGAACTGCATGATAGAGCTATCCAGTATAAATAAAGTTAGTTTAGTGTAGGTTTCCTCCTGTAGTAACACTGGATCAATAAGAGATGATCCCTACTGGACCTCTATAGGAAGAACAGTTTAGAACTGCATGATAGAGCTATCCAGTATAAATAAAGTTATATTAGTTTAGTTTAGGTTTCCTCCTGTAGTAACACTGGATCAATAAGAGATGATCCTTACTGGGCCTCTAGGAAGAACAGTTTAGAACTGATAGAGCTATCCAGTATAAATAAAGTTAGTTTAGTTTAGGTTTCCTCCTGTAGCAACACTGAATCAATAAGAGATGACCCTTACTGGACCTCTATAGGAAGAACAGTTTAGAACTGACAAAGCTATTCAGTATAAATAAAGTTCGTTTAGTTTAGACTGTTCGTAACAAGTTGCTACGAGCTTGTTGTCATCAACTTATTAACAACTTGTTACGTGCAGACGGTATCAGACTTGTTGCGAGTCTGTTGGCCTCATCAACCTTGTTGCAAGATGATAACAACTTGTTCCAGACTTGTCACATCTCTGAGAATGATTTTGAAATAGAATTACAGTGCGTATCAAGTTCAATCAATAGTTTTCACTAAGACCAAAACATTTGTTTGTGATTTAGATTTTCCACTTGATGGTTTCAACGATGAAGGAAAGTTCATGAAAAGACATCTCTTGGAAACGAAGAGCAATGGTTCAAAAAACGGTTTGAAACTTTTAATTGATACTTATGATTAATAATGACGCCATACATGAAGTTAATCAATTACACAGGTAAAAACGCACAAGTTGTAACAAAACTGCAGCAGACTTGTAGGAATGCTGTTCCAACAACTTGTCAACAGGATGTGTTCGCACTGCTTGTTCCCAGCTTGTTGACAATTTGCTACAAGGTTGTTGAGCTCAATAGACGTGTTACAAGTTGTTCCAACAACTTGTTATTGTCCTGTACCTCAACAATTTGTCAACAAGTTGCGAGTGACAACCTTGTTGCAACTTGATAGAATAACAGCATTGTTGCAAAGTTCTTGTTGACAAGCTTGCTACAAGCCTGTTGCGAACATATCTTGTTGACAAGTTGTGAGTGACAACCTTGTAGCAACTTGATAGAATAACAGCATTGTTACAACTTGTTGCCAAGCTTGCTACAAGCCTGTTGCGAACACATCTTGTTGACAAGTTGTTAGATTTTTACATGCGTATTAAAGATATCTTCGCTTTTAACTTGTAGGTTCAAACTCAAACCCACCACCGGTTAATCTTAGCCGTGGCGAGAAATTATCTTTCACTTTGGGATACAGCGTAATCTTGTTGGTTGGTTTATCTGGCAATTTTCTCATCTTGATTGTGATAGCCGCAAACAAGGAGTTTCACAACAATCTTAATGCGTTGCTATGCAACCTGGTCGTGGCTGACGTATTGCGCATGCTCACTTCCGTATCCTTTGAGCTGTTTATGATAAACAAGATTGGTAACGCAGTCTCGGCTATCCCGGTGGATCGAGGCGCGTCGGGTCGCATATTTTGCAAATCAATGTTCACTCTTCCACCCATTTTTACTTTCGCTTTCGTCTTCACGTTAATTTTCATGACCTTGGAACGCTTCGTGGCGGTCGTGTTTCCTTTCAAATCGGTCGTGTTTAAAAACAAAAGCAAATGGATCATCGCTGGTGTATGGTTTGCATCGATAGCCTTAGAGATACCTGGTTTATATGCTTTCGATTCGATAAAAGCGGGCGGGGACCATATATGTGCCATCGATTTCAGCCCGCATTGTGATGGAAATATCATCGAAGACACCAAATGCAATTCGAAAACTTTAAAGGATTTCCTAAGCGTCTCTGTCTATATAACATTTGTGATTGCGTTCCTATTCATTCTCACTCAGCATATAATTATCGTGGTGGTGTTGTACAAGAACCGCGCGCGATTCAATCCGGAGTCCTCGCGCGTCTCGAGGAATCCCAGAAACTCCACGCGTGACGTCGTGCGCATGCTCGGCGTCGTGTCGGTCGTATACGTGATAACCTCGCTGCCAAGTCAAATCTACCAATTTGGTTATATCTACGATAACACATGGTTAAGCAAATCGATGCCCGTGTATTTTAACTTTCTACTCATTTTCATCGAAAATTCTCATTCCATACTCTACCCATGGATCTATCCACTTTTTGTGAAACGATTTCGCGCAAAATATGCGAAACTCGTCAGGGGATGTGTCTTGCGCAACAAACCGCGAAGTCAGTCCGATGTGTCTACGAAGTCTAGCCGGGCAACCACGATTACTCACGACTGCGTCACGAACAGATTGATTCATAAAAATTCAAACGAAACCAAGTTTTAAACCGAGGGCGAACTCGTGACCAAGAGAGGTGTGTATACACTGCAAACGAGTTGTAACAAGGTTGTTGTGAAGCCGATATCAGGATGTGTTCGCACTGCTTGTTCCCAGTTGTTGCGACAAGTCTGGAACAATTTGTTATCACCTTGTTACAAGGTTGATGGCGGTAAAAGATCTGCTACAAGTTGTTCCAACAAGACAATACAGGCTATTTCTAACAAATTGCTACGAGCGTGTTGTCTACGTGAAGACAATATCAGACTTGTTGGAACAACTTGTTGCAAGTCTGTTGGCCTCATCACCGTTGTCACAACTGAACTTCCTGAAAAGATATCAAAGGACAGGGTCTAGTGTGGATAGCAGGCTACTATGAATTATTTTCAAAGATGCAAGCGATATAACAATACTGTTATTTTATCAAGTTGCTACAAGGTTGTCACTCACAATGATAACAAGTTGTTGGAACAACTTGTAACAAGTCTGTTGAGCTCAACAACTTTGTAGCAAGTTGTCAACAAGCCATTGACAACTTGTCAACGTGCTGGGAACAAGCAGTACGAACACATTCTGTTGACAAGTTGTTGGAACAGCATTACTAGGGTTAGTTAGAGTTAGGGCTTCTCGTAAATTAACTCAACTGTAAAATAAAACTGGTATCTCTTGCATTTGTTTCAAAATTAATTTTAAAAAGTATTTTACTTTGAATTATAGACGAGAACATGATTCACACAAATTTTGTTATATTTCCTTATTAATTAAAATACAAAGAAAATCTAATCTGCCTGTACTGTGTTGTGTGTGATCATATGAGCTTCAAGGTCGCGAGGAATTTCAAACACAACATCGCAAACGCAACAAATATATCCGAGCCCAGTTGGTACCGTTGAATCAAGTTCCTGACAGAAACCGCATTGATACTTTGCATCATTGCTGTGCAGCCTTGCTATATGTTCAACTAATTGCCTTAAGTCGCCGTAATGACGGTAGCATTTATTGCAAACATATTTGCCAGTGTGTTCATTCTTGACAAAATGTCCTTGTAATTCTTGCGGTTCGAAGATCCCTTTGTCGCAATCACTGCAATATAAATGTGCCTTTTTGTGCCAATCGAAATCCTCAGCATGAGCGAATGTTCTCGTACAAACATTG